ACTAACAGCATCCTAAAACAGACAACTTGACCTTATCTTCCTACCAAAGCCTCTCTCCTCGCACTATCCTCAAACTAAACAAGTCTTGTGTTGAGAGGATCAACTCTGGAACTAAACTTGTCACTACTCAGGCTCTTTTAAAAGTAGCCCTGAAAGCATTTTTTAAAGTACTCCTTAAACACCAGAAGGGGGAAAACTTGAGATAGTGCAATATTTTGCAAAAGGCTCTCCAAAACATTTCTGGGGCCAGCCTAGGAAACTAATATAGGTGCATTTTAGGTTATGTCTATATTAGCAAATAGCATGGACCCATATGAGCCGATGTTGGTGCAGAGGCTCCAGTGACCCAGTACATGCATTTCTAAGGGTCTCTGGGCTCGCTCTAGTCTGGTCCTGGAGCATGAACACTTGTTAGTGGTTGTGGCGTATTAGCGGCACTTCTACAGTGCATTTCAGGCTTAGTTTATTCTGAATGGAATCCGGTTTGCACGTTCCAAGACCACTTGGTGAGGCAAACCAAAGCACATTAAGTGGAGCTCATAAGGAGTTGTGTTTCAGAAGAGCAGTCTGCGCCCCAGCCAAAATGTCAGTGAGGAACACCCTGCCAGAGGCACATCGACACTCTCCAACCTCAACCAGTTCTGTAAAGGGTCAGGCCGAGTGCACCTGTACTTACCCAGTTTTTATGTCCTTTATACGCTAGTTGCACATCCCTGATATATATATATATATGTTATAAAGTGATTTCTGTATGGAAAACAAAACATCATGAACTGCTCCCCCTTGTCCTTCCTTCCAAAAAAAAAAAAAAAAAAAAAAAAAAAAAACGAAAGATGTAAAATTTAGGCTTATTTGACTTATTTACATTAACTTCTTGAGATAAAAGCCTACATTGAGTACAGTAAGTTACTATGAAAAGTAATGGAAAACTTAAGCCCCCTAACCCCTATGAATGAAGAGATCCCTAAAATGATTTTGCTGGGGAAAAATAACCACAGCACAGAAAACAACTTCATTCCTTTCCTCCCCAACAGAGAAGAAAAAAAGCAACTGACGCCCACCAAGTCTAGACAGAACTATGTGGAAAAATGTGTCTCTTACACGTAAGAAAGCATTGATATCTTTTATTACAATCTGTCTCCCCCCTGCACTTTACAGTCACAGTAGAACAAAGGGTTATAAAGAGACTGGAAGAATACAGGAAGCTAATCTAGCTAAGAAGCAAAAAAATGCTTGCTTACTTTATTGCTTGTATTGCCAGCATGATAGGAAGGCAAGGAGAAAAAAAAAAGTTCCTTTCCCTTCTCAAGTTTACAGGTTATTTGGTACCTTTGCTTGGTCTTTTTTTTTCATTCAAGTATTATTAACATTCTAGGAAAAGCTAGTAGTTTCTTGCGGACTAGATTTGACAAAATCTAATTAATTGGGTGATTTTCTTCTGACTTCAGTAGGAACAGACTCATATCACAGACAGCCTAACAACACAGTAGAAATACAATTCAGTCTTGTATGTAGGCAACAGTGTTTAGCTATTTATGTTTTTTATCAAGCAAAATGTGTCTGTATTAGCTAACTCGGTAATTTGCTTCTGTCTTACTGTTTTTTTTGCCTTTCCCCATTTGAGTGATACTCTCAAAATGACAGGTCAGAACATCTGAGTGGCCTCCTAAAATTGCTGGCAGGTGCCACGTATGGGAATCTACCTTAGTGACCAATCCAGCAGCCCTCTGAGTTAAAGGCAAATTTAGAAGTGACAGTAAAGTGTGAACTGACTACACAGAGATGGGGGAGGGGGGTTAGTTAAGGTCATAAACTGAGAATTTAAGATACAGTTACTGTTTAAAGTTGAAGTACTAAACTCAGTGCTCTGTACACATTCTACATAAGAGCACTTCCTCCAGAATAACCACTCATCTTTTCATTTTGGGGGTTCCTGGCACTTACTGCTCATGTACAGTATCTTAAGAATTTCCTAAGAAATTTTTGCTACCCACACTTCTAGCATCAACACAACCATACAAGAACGTAGTTATAAAAATTATGTACATCATAGGAAACTGCAGTCATTTCTGTGGAGTTGTCTTCTGCAAGGCAGTGTGCTTTGCTATCAACCTGCCATCTGTACTCTTCATGTGCTACATGGTCTCTAATAAGCAACAGCATGCCCTGCAGACAGAAGACTCTCAACACTGATAAATATCATAGCTGTCACTTGTTTCCTTCAGGGCAAAAGTTAAGAAGGTATTAAGTATCTTTTGTAACTCAGGCACATGGCCATGTTTTGGTAGACTAGGCAGCGCAGCGAATCACGTGCCTCTCTGAACGTTTCTCATTCCTGTCAATAGAAATAGGATCCGGCGACACCGCATCATGCTTTACCTAACGACAAAGCTCAGCACATCACTGAAGCCTCTCAAAGCCCAACAGGACTAGTGTCATTTATGCGTGTTTATTCCAAACAAAAACCAACACGAGTGCATTTGGCCTACCATACCCTCACTATTCAATGCTTAAAAAGGGAGCAGACATTTATATTAAAACAGAAGGCCACTGGTACTCTAGTATGATGTCAGTAATACAGCTCCTCAGAGCACGTTATTGTTTTAAACCGAGGTCTCCGCACTTTCACATTGGTTATAAAATACTTAGTGCTGCTGGACTGGAAGGAAAATGTCATACATCTGCAAACAATTAGAAGGAGCTGGACTTCATATTTGATTTACTAAACAATAAAACAAGCTTAAGTGTGACTATATGTGTAAGTTACACTCCCTAGGAGCCTCAAACAGTTATCATAGCAGTGTCTTTTAACCATAATTAAATAAAACCACAGTGGGACCATTGCTGATCAAGATTATCTTATAAAAGATATTTTCAGCAATGAAAAGCATGAAGATCATGAAGTTGAACGCATGCTTTAAGTGCTCCAAAGGTCTTTTATACTTTCTCTCAAGCACGCTGTCCAGCTGGAATTCATTCAGTACAATACATTTCAGCTTTTAAACACTAATATTTCCATGCTTTCTGCATTTAGATTGAAATTTTGGCATGAGGAAATTAGTAGCAAAACTCTGATTCAGTCAAGCCCAAGATTTCACCATCGTTTGTGTGTCTGCTAGTTAAGAAGTTCTGGTACTAGAACAACAGTTAGTTGTTGTTATAAATTAACCAAAGATTTGTGAATTGAATACAAATATTTAGTTGCAAGTTTCAGGAAGCCAGAGCATGAAGTAAAATAATAGTAATGTATCACCACCAATCTTTTCCTCAACAAAACAAAAACCTCAGCCTGTTGTCAGTCTCTAAGTTAACCCTAACTCTCGACCTTTATTTGGAATATAAGGTATTAGTAACACTACACGCTGCTAAACTTTCCAATGCTATACCCGATTTATACACCTAAAGCCATTGTAGCAAGTGATGCTCACGCTTGGAAATTTTCTAGCATTACTTGCATTTTTAATCAAGGAAAAAGGTTGTTGCAGGCTAAAGTTGAAGCAGTTCATTGCAGCTCACCAGCGAGGATGAGTGCCAGCCACAGTAATGCAACGTCATCTGAAGGAGGGAGTTCCAGATCAAACACAGGGGTCCAGTATTCTGTTCCTGGTTCTGCTACACTTTGTGAAGTTAAACTAGACGAAAAAACACTTGCCATCCTCAGCATTGATTATTTCCTTGATAATCCTAAGTGAATGCTCAGGGCTATGGATCACGGTCCTGACCTCCTGCGGTAGGTTCTTTACTTGACATTCTTGAATTAGAGTGACAGAAACATTAAACATTAGCTGATAAGCTAGAAATGCAATTCTGAGGCTTTGCCTATAAAAATAACTTGTCCAGCGTCCATGATGATTACTATGCTTCAGAATGACAGGGAATTTACTTACTAGTGATAAATAATGTTCTGTATACATGAATACCAGGGAGAAAGGAACTACCACTGTATATTACAGCTTGCCCTGATTATAGTCACTTAAGCACTATTTTATATGATTATACTGTTATGGGCCACAAAGTGGAAAAGATGAACCATAGGGTCAAGTTTTGCCCTGTTTGCATGGGTATCCCACTAACATGCTTGAAAACCAAGTTTATGAACAAGGATTAGAATACATTTTTATGAAAGAAAACAAAACAGTGGACAAAACATTTGTTACTTCAGCAAGTATGAGAGTAAACTATTTATATAAAATAATAAATGTAACAGTCTTAGTTTACAGTAGTGCTGTAAGTCTGGTTCCTGAATACATGCAATTAAGATTGCTAATACCCTGAGAATTTTGGCACTGTGTGTGGTGTATGTACACTCAGATCAGAGCTCTTCATTGCCATAGTTTCAGAGACTGGCCAGACTATGACCGGAAGTAAGCTGGCAGGGTCTGTGTAGAACTCCTTCCATAGAGATCAGAAGAGCACAAGCTGTTCAAATGTTTGGTTCCTACTGCTTGATCATACATAATAAAAACACTCTACTCTTCTTCATTACAATCTGGTCTAAGCAAAAGATCATATGGTGGTTGATTTTTGTTCTATTCAGTGTTCACTTACTGCAAATCTGTAGAAATCATTTGTTTTGCAAATCTTTAGAAATCATCTATAATAAAACTGGCTAAGTTGCCTACTTTTTTTAAAGCACTGCCTCTCCTGGACATACTTAATACTATACAAAGTGTTTGACTAAAGTTGCTTCCTTGCATTAAGGTGTTTTTTTTTTTTTTTGAGGATTTACAGACAACGGAATTAATTTTACTTGTTGGCCTGAAATAGATAGAACAGACTGTACAGCTGTAACAAACTGTTAGTTCTGTTACCCTGAATAATAACAACATGCATGTATTTTATTTACATATCTTAAGTAAGTGTGTACGTGTCCAGTTTAATGGTGCAACAACATGTGCTATTAAATGCAAGAGTTATAGGTGGTCATTTTCCAGGCATTAGATTTGGTATCACACGCACTCCAATTATACTGAAAGTAAAACATATAGCAGCTTGCTTACCTTGGCACACATTGTGATCACTTTGCTCATACCCAGCTGCACACTGAATTTGATGAGTTGGGTTTGGAGGGGGACGGTGAGGATCAGCTGGAGTCCGTCGAATTACGTTGTTTCGACCACTAGTGGATTCAGCTGCTGCTTCTTCTCGCTCATTTACAATAATTTGTGCTGTTCTAGGTAGACAGAGGTATCCTCCATAGTGGTTAACACATTTCATCCCACCTTTACATGCATCTGGGACTATTTCACATTCATCAATATCTGTGGTTAGCAACAACACAAGTCATGCTTTTAACAGTCGAACCTTCTGCAACAGCCACTAATACAAATAACACAATGAGACATGCAAGCACACCTCCTTGTCCAAAACAGGGGTGTGTAATGATAATACTTAGAAGAATACCAATGGCAAGTCTCTCTTTGAAAATTATTTACTATACCTTTGCACCGTTGCCTAACAGGATCCCATTCATAGCCATCTGTGCATTGCTATAGAGAAAAAAAAAAAAAAATTAGGCTATGCGGGTTTCTTTATTTTGGAAAAATAATCAAGCATATTTCAATGGACTCAGAGTTTGACACCAAGGGAAATGCAATGTTTTCATTCCTTAGTAAGACAGAAAAATGGCTATTGGTACAGCACTGCTGTGCAGGCACAACAAGTATATACAGAGAGAGCCTCTATCTAAGGAAGTTCCTAAGATATCGTTTGCTGTGAGTACGCGTTATCGGGGCTGGGGAACAAAGTGAGAAAAGCACCACCTTCTCCCCGCCTTGTTCCTATACTGTGTTCTAAAGCCTCTGTCACTGGCTGAATCCTAGAACAGATGAACCTCTGGACTGACCCAGCTGACCAGTACGAAAATCTTCATACGAAAAAGAAGCAAGTTTTTCTGAACTTTGATCTTATTCACTGCCTTCCAACAGGTGAACATCTTTCATTCCTGGGGCCGGTTTCCCAGAGGGGACTGATGGGCCTCTATTTCCCTGTACTTCATCCTCTCTCCCATTCGCACTGTAGCAATGGGGAAGGTTCCCATGACAGCTGGAAATTCATTCATGTGCTTTTTAATCACATGACTCCAGGAACTGCAGTCTAGGAAGAACCATTTATATTGTGAGACATACAATAAACAGTTAAGAGTTTGTAACAGCAGGACTACTTATACAAATAAGACTTTGCAAAACTGAAACAAGATTATACTCAGCAACTACTCATATCAATGCAGACTAATAACTTCAGGAAGAATTTTAAATATTCCACCCTGTAGTTCAGTTGGTATCTTCATTATTCCTCTGTCCAGAAGCACTAAAATGTCTACAGCGCAGTAATTTTAATCACAGGTGACAATTACAGAAACTGATTAGCAAAGTATCACAATGCTACCAACTGCAGCAAACACATTTAAAATATCAATGAATCAACTAAACTGTACTATGTAGGTGCACATGCATGCTATGTTGCTTAGGATATTACTTTAATGGCCCTATAGAAAAAAAGAATTGAGTTGGCTAATGTAATTAGTCACAGTCAAGCAAGCTAAATCTTGTTGCAACTCCTCTGTGCAGAGGAACTATACAAGTGACAAATTTGACCTTCCGATGCCGAGATCCAGTTGTTCCATGTACTATCCTAAAGTTATTGTGAGGAACTTCTTATTAATGGCCACTGACTCAGCAATAGGATTGAAAAAATTTTCTTCATTTGCAGGTGACACCAGCTATCTGCCAAACATAGCAGCAAGTTGTAACTTTGGAGGCTTTTTCTTCCAAAGGGGTAAGCAGACAGCAAACTGTATTACAATTCTCAATCTCTAAAGCAATGACTACATGCTGAGTTGACAACACCGAAGTTAACGTAGCTATGAAAACGCAAGCCCAAAGGAAAACAGCTAATTCATGCATTTACTGAATCACCTGATTCCTGTTAATGCACAACAGAAGTACTCTCTGTTTAACTGTAAGGAGCCAAGTCCGTCTATTACTGCAGCTGAAGGGACTTTTACAATAGAAAATGATTTGACCCTAAATGAATACAATGTATGCGTGAGAAACAGTAGCATCCTAAGAGTAGTATTTCCAAAAGCTAAGTTTTTTTGTTACACTGTTTTACACGATTAGAGTCTAATGATCATTGAAGCACCTAGATGCTAAGACCTCTTTGAAATAGGAACCCAAGTCATATATGCAGGCTGGAAATTTTCCATTGGTATAACCAGAACTACGTAGGCTTATCAGAAAATGCTACTTATTTTTTTAAAAAGGATGTGTAATAAATGCAGAAAACGAAGGGGATGGGATCCCTGTATTAGTCTAGATTTTCAAAAGATACTTAGATCTTCAGCTTCTCCTTATATAGAGGGACTTAAATCACAGAAGCCTCGAACACAGAAGTACTCCCAACCTTCAAAAATCTATTGCTCCCAAAGCCCGGTGTTAAAGTATTTTATGACCGACTTCCTGATGCTCACTTGAGGCTTCTTTGAGCGGGTCCAAGTCTGCAATATTTACTTGCTTGAGCCATCCCACTGACTTCAGTGGGATTACTTGTATAAAACACAATCTCAGTCTTTGGCTGTAGTTCTCTAACTTTTTGCATGTGTGCAGAATTTTCTGCTTGTGTGGCATTGCGCTAATGCCTGTACACATATTCAGAGGTCCACCCATATGAAGCAAGTTGCAGGGATTACAACTGTAATCAGATGTGAAAGTGTGGGTTTTTCCCCAGCCCAAGCCAATGTAATTGCCACTCCTTCTATGACATGCATTATGCAAGCCAAAGACTGAACACAAGCAGATTAAAAAAAGAAAAAAAAAAAAGCCTTACAAAAAGGCCTTTAATTCTCTTACCGTATCACTTGGCTGCAAGCAGAACCTATTTCCAGTGTTCTTATACAATTTTATCAAGCTATGCAAAACCACTGCTCAAAACCAGCTCAGAAACTAATAATCCTGTGATCACTCTAGGACTTAGATGCTTCACTATGAGCACTGAAAGTTGAAGTACTTATATTTTGTTAAAAACAGCTTGAAATATCCAAAAGAAAAAACACAAAAGAATGTTTGACCTAATTATCTGTCAAATTTCATACATTTCAAATGAAGGTCCTAGGGACCCTGACTTTATGAAAATGGATTTTAAAAAAAAATTAAAACCTCTTAATTTTGTCCAGCTCATCAAGCTGAGCACATAGATAAGCTCTGCAAAACAGGCAGTTGTAGCCTATTTTGCTCAATCTTGTCAACTTCAACTTTAAAACACCATTTCAGTGCAGGAACAGCTTATTTTATGGTTAACATTCGAACTCAAAGAACTGTGTATCGCATGCTATACGTTGGCAAGAAATTTGGTTTTTCTAAGGGTCACTTAGCAAAGAATCCCTGCAAAGCAGTAATTATCTCGAACTCTGTTAAACCTTACCGTGTACGTTATGGTTTCCTCAGTTTCCTGCGAATGTACTGTAATAAGAATGAGAGCAGCCAAGAGCATAGCTGTCAACATCGTGAACCCTGAAAGCAAGAAAAACAAATAAAGCGGGAATATTTTTAGAGGTCTCCGCCG